TCTTGTGAGGAGCATCTCATTTAATAATAGTGCTGGAGAAAAAGTTTCCTTCAATGAAAATGGAGAGTTAGCAGCTGGATATGATATTCTAAACTGGATCACATTTCCAAACCAGTCTTTTTGTAGAGTTAAAATTGGAAAGATTGACCCCATGACTCCGCAAAAAGAAGTTTTCACCATTTTTGAGGAAGCCATTGTGTGGCCCAGCAGGTTTAACCAGGTAAGGTCCGTTCATATATTGGGGTGTCTCCACTACTCATTTTCACAGAGGTTCACAGTTCAAACACCAACATACTTGTATAGTATTGACCTCACCATTCTGAGTTCCTATGTATGCATGAAACATGTTCTATGGTGTACAGTGTAACTTACTTCCAAATAATCATGCACTGGAACTCAAAGGCATAACAAAAAGATGAGTGAGCAAAGTATAACCAAGTAACTGCAACTAATTATGCTGAGAAGACATACCTTTCATGATGTCAGCTATGATAACTATAAGTGAACAACCAATGTGGACTTCTATCATTGTTAAGTGTAACAAGGAAATAGTGGCCTTAAACACTTATCTGGCTTCTGACCTCTGTTGGCTGTCCTGTTTGAGATAGCTTAGTGGATTTCCATAATATAGTACATTGTAGATATGGAAGCATGCAAAAGAGAAAACATTCTCCTTTTTCATTTGTGGACAGGCTCAGCCCCTTTCTCTTTGTAATGGCCATTGCAATTTGGGATATCATAAGGCAAAGAAGGAAGGGCAGCCATCTTGCTGCTATCATTGCCTTCCATGTCCTGAAGGGAAGATATCAAACCAGACAGGTAAGGACATACTATAAAAGGTAAAGGTACCCCTGCCCATACGGGCCAGTCTTGATAGACTCTAGGGTTGTGCGCCCATCTCATTAAGAGGCCGGGGGCCAGCACTGTCCGGAGACACTTCCGGGTCACGTGGCCAGTGTGACAAAGCCGCATCTGGCGAGCCAGCACAGCACACGGAAATGCCGTTTACCTTCCCGCCAGTTAAACGGTCCCCTATTTATCTACTTGCACCCAGAGGTGCTTTCGAACTGCTAGGTTGGCAGGCGCTGGGACCGAGCAACGGGAGCGCACCCCGCCGCGGGGATTCGAACCGCCGACCTTTCGATCGGCAAGCCCTAGGCGCTGAGGCTTTTACACACAGCGCCACCCGCGTCCCCAAGGACATACTATACAGAGCATATAAAATATAAAAAATTAGGGTAATCAGATGTTTGTTTCTCTACACAATCCAGAATATGACAACCTTCTAACAAAATGGCACAATAAGACTGAATATTTGTTTTTTTTAGATTTCAGCCTGACAACTCTCGTTCATTTCTTTGTAATATCAAGATATGATCATTTCAAGGTTCCATCAGGGCTACCATATTTTAAAACACATGCTTTGTTTTCCAGACATGGATGACTGCTTTCGATGTCCAGAAGATCAGTATCCAAACCATGCCCATAATTCATGCATTCCAAAATTCATAACCTTCCTCACTTTTGGAGAACCTTTGGGAATCTCTTTGGCTACTTTGGCGCTCTCGTTTTCTTTCCTCACTGCTTTGGTGCTTTGGATTTTTGTGAAGCACCAAGACACTCCCATAGTCAAAGCTAACAATCGGGATCTTACTTACACTCTCCTTGTCTCCCTCCTGCTCTCCTTCCTTTGTGCTTTGCTGTTCATTGGCCAGCCTGAAAAGGTGGCATGCCTGTTTCGACAAACCACTTTTCTTATAATCTTTGCAGTGGCTGTTTCTTGTGTGCTGGCCAAAACTATAATTGTGGTTGTAGCCTTCATGGCCACCCAGCCTGAAACTAGGATGAGAAAATGGGCAGGGAAAAGACTGGCCATTTCTATTGTCCTTTCCTGTTCCCTTATTCAAGCCACTCTTTGTGGTGTGTGGCTGGCAATCTCACCCCCGTTCCCAGAATTCGACATACTCTCAGTGACTGACCAAATTGTATCAGAGTGTAATGAAGGTTCCAGTACCATGTTCTACTCGGTCCTGGGCTTCCTGGGCTTCTTGGCCATTGTGAGCTTCATTGTGGCATTCCTAGCCAGGAAGTTACCCGACAGTTTTAATGAAGCCAAGTTTATCACCTTCAGCATGTTGGTCTTTTGCAGTGTTTGGCTGTCCTTTGTTCCAACTTACTTGAGCACAAAAGGAAAATACATGGCTGCTGTGGAGATCTTCTCCATCTTGTCTTCTAGTGCTGGGTTATTGGGTTTTATATTTTCCCCAAAATGTTATATTATTGTGGTGAGGCCAGAGCTGAACAACAAGGAGCAGTTAAGAAGAAGAAATCAGTGAAGCACCTACAATTCTATGGCCCTGCTCTATCTTAATTTGAATCTATGCAAAGGGATTTAAGACAGCCACAACTGATTAGTTCAACTGGATTGCAGTTTAGATTACAGTTTCTCCCTTTATTCTCTCATTAGGCAGTACATATATATTGCAACGTATGGATCGAATATAGGAACCATCCTATGTTAGTATCAACTCCCTATCCCAAGTCTGCCAACCAAACAAGATATGGGAGCCAAAGCTTTCTTCCTTAGGTTTGCCAAATGTAGTGGCATAATTATCTGCCACCTTGAGTGGATATGATGATACCCCCTCTTTGGAGCTGTCCTATGTTAATTCATTATCCCCCCCCCACATCCGGCAGCCCAACAACATATAGCAAACCCAAGAATGTAAGCTCTGCCCTTCCATTTTAAATGCCACAGCATTGCCATTTATTTGCTGAATGCAACAGTATAAACAATAAATCCAAGTTATGCAGAGCTCAGGATTTGTGGGAAATTTATTTTGTCTGCCTACATGCAAATGGGCCATATCGTTTGACTAGTTGCTCTGTGGAGATTCAAAGCTCCTAACTCCTGAAAACTCCTGCACCAACACTTTGAGTTGTATCTGACTGCTTCATCCCATGAGTGCAACCTTTTCTGCTTGTACAATGGATTTTCTCGCTTCTCCTCACCCTGTGTGGGCCTCACACCCTCCCAATATCAGCTCCAGAGTGTAGGGGAAGGGAGAACCTAGAGTTCACATGGGGAGGGGGAAATCACACCTTTTACAAAGGGCAACGAGAAAAAAGTTCCGGGGCAGCCTTCCAGAGGCCACTTGCTGGTCACGCGTGAGGCCAGAGGCAAAAGAGTGAGCAGGAACAAATGTAAGTTTTGCATCTGCATAGTACACTAGTACCTGCACACACTCACAAGTCAAGTAAGGGGCCTTATCGGAGTTCAAGAACACATTCCTGTGAGGGAAAAGATATCCAGGTGTGGAGCTGGCTAGTAAAGGGTTTCAACTGGGAAGAATTCCAAATATCAGCATCATATTCAGCTCCCAGGTCTGGGATTCCCATGCCCTGTTCTCATTGTATGAAGTATCCAAACAAACCCATGTGTTGCAAAGAGAACGTCAACAATGTCTAGGCAACACGATGAACATATACATACGTAATAGAGAATCTTTATAGAATTCCTTCAAATCATAAAAATTTCAAAATGAAATCTTTAGTCTCAAAGTCTCTGAAAATCTTTAAATGAAGCAAGGTACCAAACTTTGTACGGTGGAAGACAAGCTGTGAAGCTTTGTGTATTCAAGAATGATGTCCAACACCGAACAGTAATTCCGGATATTGATTACTGTTTCAGAGACTTCTTCATCAGCGTGGCGGGTGGATATAGATAGCTTCATAAACTGAAAATAAAATTTTACAGACAACGACCTGCACGACATATCACTTTACAAAAATTATAAACTATAATACAAACAGTAATGAAGAAGAGTACATACCCCATCTTATTTTGAATGAATGTATATAAATGAAAATATCAAATGCTGTGGAACAGTGCTCATGTAATAATGTAGTCACTGCTACTAACAATATTTTTTGAGAAACATGTAAAGCCAAATCTGGGTGATGCTGATAACAACGAGGTTGAGTTTAAAAGTACAGTGCAAAGTAACAATACAAATACAAGGAGATTGAGGTCTAACTCAGAGTTGAGAACCCCTGGATAAATGGTTTTAAACATGCAGGAGAAAAAAGTGAATAAAGGACCCAGAACGGGGAGGAGATAAGTCCATGGGGATTTATGGAATCCTTTCTTCTTCTTCTTTTTTTTTTTTGGTTGCTTGAGGATTGTTTGTAGATTTGTAAATTTGAAAATAAATAAATTTATAAAAAACACAACAAAAACAAATGAACAGAAGTCAGGACAGCAGAGAATAGAAACTTAGGGAGGGTTTTCTTTGACATTTAACTCCCTCCACACATACCATTTTTTCAAGGGGATTTCTGCCATCATCATCATATTAATCTGTCAGTTTGTGAATATTAGTGAGACCTGCACAGAGCAAGCTAAGGAACTTCACTTTCAAGTGTAATGCATCTAGCATGGTATTTGCTCAATGGTCCCTGCTAATACAAAGATGAGAATATAAATATCATCTGCTCTTAACTACTATAGTTACATCCACCTAGTTTCCTGCTGCAAATTGCACTATCTGGGACCATTAATTCCCATAACACCATTGGATGATCACATGAGCTGGATGATTACAGCCGTCACATCTAAGTACCTGCAAATCTCAATGATATTATTATCCTTTCTGTAATTATGAAACTAAGCATAGAAGCTTTGTTTCCTCATATCAAGGAAGCTGCAAATATGAGTTGCATTATTATCAATGAAGATAGGAAGGTGCTGTGAATATTGCCAGTACAATTTCAAGGTGTAACAAGAGATAGTCAGAGATTGGTCAGGCTGATAACAGATGCTTTACACTGCACAAACTGACTCACAAATCAGTGTAGTGTTGACTTAAGTTAAGCTGCAAACACAGCAAAAGACTCACTGAAAGAAAATGTGGGGACAGGAGAATTTAGGTAGAAGAGGAATTATTTCATGCAAGATAGTTGGATTTGTACCATTGCCATCAGTGCTTCTACTTCAGGTGATGTGCAAGATTCGTAACACTAAGTGCAGCATCTGCAGTCCCTTTCCTTTTCTTCACAAGTATTACCAACCAGGAGACTTCATCATTGCTAGTATTATGTCTCAGATCTCCATATTTTTCAACGCAATAGACTTTGATAAATGTCCTTCTAATGACCTCTTTGACGACATTGTGTAAGATTTGTTTTGTATTTCTTTTTACAATTTTTTTATTCACATTTTATTCACATTTCACTTACAGATAATACTATTTTAAAATACACTATCTTCTACTTCTACCCCTACAGCCTATATTCAATTCCAAGGAAACACACTGTGTTATAGCATGTAACTCTCATTTCAGGGTTATGACACAGCTCTACCAACATATCCTGGCATTAGTATTTGCTGTAAAGGAGATCAATGCAAACCTCCAAATCTTACCCAACCTCACCCTGGGCTTCCACATCTATAACAGCCATTTTAGTGCAAGCTGGACCTACCGTTCCTCCTTGGAACTCCTCTCTACATACAGCAGATTCATCCCCAACTACAAGTGTGACTCACAGAATGAACTAGCAACAGTCATTGGAGATCCGAACTCTGAGGTTTGTCTTCATATGGCAAGTATACTGAATAACTACAAGATTCCACAGGTAACACTCTCTCAGAGCACCTCCCCTGATAGAAAATTACCCAGACCATTAGATCTTCTTTTCAGGCAAAAACCTAGCACTTTGCAGGTGCTGATTATCAGTGGACCCTTCGCAACTGTTACTGTGTTGATCCTTTGTCAGTTCTTTTTCATTTGCTTTTTCTCCTTGTTGCTTAATATAGAATGTTATAAACTGACTTGGAAATAAATGGTGAGGGACTACAGTAATGTGTCCTGCAGATGTTATTGAAATCCAACTTTCACCAGCCCCAGCCAGCAAGGGCAACCTAGTCATAGATTATGGGAGTTCTCATCCTACAATGGAATACGGCGGAAGTCCTGTTTCACCAGTGTAATGTAAGACATGGCACTACCATGAAAAGTAACTGAGCATTATTGCTTGAGCAGATTGCCACTACCCTCGACCAGCACATACTTTGTGCTACTACCATTTCACTGGTGAGAACATTTTTCTATGTTTAGAGGATTGATCAGTGTATCTGTACCTTTGAATTCTTTCAAGTTTGAGGGAAAAGCAACAAGTTCTTATGTCAGCAGCACTCCCTCAAAACAAAATCTGAAATCTAGATTGTATTTTCACTGCAGTCAATATAAGTTAAAAAAGGAAACCACTGTGCACTTAAACAAAATTTCTCATCTCCTCATTTCCTGTCTTTGATTTAGCTCATCTATGGTCCTGCTCCAATGAGAAATAATGAAAATGAAGTTGCCTTCCTTAACCAAATGTTTCCAAGTATAGACCATCAATATGAAGGGATTCTCATGTTACTGCTACACTTCGGATGGCTATGGACTGGTGTGTTGATTGCGGATAATGAGAATGGAGAGAGTTTTCTACAGAGCGTGGTTCCAAAATTTATTCTGAGAGGAATCTGCTTTGATTTCATAGGAAGATTTCCAACAATGTCTTATACTAATGGTATTACAGACTTAGTTGCAGATGGGCTCAAGACATTTAATGTTGCCATGAGAAGTACTGCTAACGTGTTGATCATTCATGGGGAAATTGACTCCATGACACTTTTGAGAATGTTTCCTGCTATGTCAGAATATGAAGATATACCAATAAAGGCTAAAGGCAAAGTTTGGGTCATGACAGTTCAGATGGATTTCACATCACTTCCCTATCAGAGAGATCAGGACATAGACTTCCTCCATGGTACTCTATCCTTCACAATTCACTCAAAGGAGGTCTTGAGATTCCAGGAATTTGTTCAGATGAGAAATCCCATCTTGGAAAAAGAAGATGGCTTTATGAGGATATACTGGGAAAAGGCATTTCAGTGTCATTTCCCTGACTCTGAGGGAAATATGCAGGATGGCGATATTTGCACTGGGGAGGAGAAGCTGGAGACTCTTCCTGGCTCTATTTTTCCAACAAGCATGACTGGCCACAGCTATAGCATCTACAATGCAGTCTATGCTGTGGCACACGCTGTGCATGCCATGCAGTCATCTAAGTTGAAGCACAGAGTGGATGAAGGGCGGCTGAAGCTTTGGAATCAACAGATGTGGAAGGTAATATCATGAGCACAATAATGCAGGAATGCTAACCATAGCCCTGCAAATAACAACAAAAAGAAAGAATCCAGAATGTTTGAAAAGTTTCTGTTTCTACCAAGGGTGGTTAGCATCTAAAGACCAAATTACATGTGATATTGAAAGCATAGCTCACTGTTGTGTGAATCTGTTCTAGGGACCACACTCAGGGCTGTGACTGACTCACACTGAATGGGGCTAGACCTTTATTCTTACTAATATGAGATTACACCAGAAGTTTCCATTTAAGGCCAAATGGCAGCTTCTTCAGAAGGATTTTTCTCCCTCCCCCCCTCCCTCTCTCTCTCATTATTCTTCATGAAAAGATCTTATTAAAAAAAACCTTACTGAAATTAAATGCCCATATGTACGTAGAGAAAGAGAGTACACAGGAGGTAATTGTTCTGCATTTACTTACTTAAGGCCATAAGAAGATGCTGCTGGACCAGGACATTGGCCCATCTAGTCCAGCATCCTTTTTTGTCAAAGGAAGATAATGGTGATGTAATGCTCAATGACTTCTATTGCATCCATTACTGGTCTTTATGAATCTTTTGAAGGGTCCATTGCTCATATCCCCAAGAACGAAAGTTCATCATCAACCTGTTATATTTTCTTATGAAATACCCTTCTTTTCCCATCTTTCTGTCAACATCCGGGGGCTGAAAGGCCAGCTGGCTAGCCCCCAGCTGGTTCATTTCCCTCTCAGCCTTCACACTGCGAAGACCCATCAAGCTCTGGCTCTGACATAAATTAGCGACTCAAGCTAGCTGACTTGAGCGCACTATACGTACCAGTGTAAACCACACAAACAGAAGAGGCTGTGGGTACATACTACAACTAGAGATTTATTTTTCATAAATCAGAACAAAGAAACATGTCATCTTTCCTTGCCGTCTTCTCGGAGAGAGAGTCAAAACAAAAGCAATACAGCGGAAGTTCTGCTTACGCCAGCAAACTGTGCTGAAATGTAAACAGACATGTGACACGTAATAATCTCATGCCTGCAACTAAAGGTGTAATGGAATCTTCCAGCACTTTCCACCTGTCCAATTTGCTTAGTTGTTTGGTGAGAAATAATAATAATAATAATAATAATAATAATAATAATAATAATAATAATATAATTTATTTTTTATACCCCGCCCATCTGGCTGGGCTTCCCTAGCCACTCTGGGCAGCTTCCACCAAAATATTAAAATACAGTTATCCATCAAACATTAAAAGCTTCCTTAAATAGCTTCTTTAATAATAGTGCTGGGGGGGGGAGTTTATATTAACCAAAATGGTCCACAAGACCCCTGGGGAAAGTGCACCATTCATGAGGATGCCATTGTATGGCCCAGCAGGTTGAACCAGCTTTGACTCCAGACATTTGTCTCTAGTCCTAAGGCAGGGATGGGGAACCTTCAGCCCTCCCTCCAGATGTTTCTGAACTGCAACACCCATATTCCTAGCAAACATAGCCAATACCTGTAGGTCCCGCACCCTACAACTACAATGTCTCCATAGAAGTCTCTGTAGTTGCACATGCTTTGCATGCGATGCACCCATCTAGACTCAATGACAGTGGCACAATGACAGTGGATGAAGGAATAACATTTCAGAATGAGCAGTTGTGCATGGTAATGTCCCGAGGGTCCTAAAAGTGGAGAAGAAATGATGATGGATCACTCCAAAGGTTTCCCAAGGCAGCCAACTTGATACCTGTTGGAAGTTTTCAATCATGACATTATGGCAATAGGCCACTCCCAACAGTCTGGTGTTCAGAGAGACGGTGCCCCTTTTTCTGGAGCAAGTATATAGTCATTGTGGCTAATAGCCATAGATATCCAATTTCTTCCATGTCTAATCCCCACTGCTCACCAGATGCAAAGGAATAAGCAGAGAATCTAGATTCTCTGGAAAGTCCAAAAGCTCATAATAATAAGCATGGAGCAGGATTTTTTTATTGTTATACGTATCTCTCAATGTTCCTGCAATAAGCTCAAGGTGGCCAATCGGGCTCTTCCTCTCTCAGTATCCATTCTTCCTTGGTATAAAGCTTTTAAAGAGTTTAGTAATCAATTGCGAATGATCACCACTGTTTTGTATATTCTTATGAATTTGCTTTCTTTTAATTTCTCTCTGATTCTATCTATTCTTTCTCCCCAAATAGCTCAACCACTTTGTTAAAAGCATCTCATTTAATAATAGTGCTGGGGGGAAAGTTTCCTTCAACCAAAATGGAGAGTTAGAGTCTGGATTTGATATTATAAACTGGGTCACATTTCCAAACCAGTCCTTTCGGAGAGTGAAAGTTGGAAAGATGGACCCCATGGCTCCCAAAGAAGAAGTGTTCAGAATTTGTGAAGAAGCCATTGTGTGGCCCAGCAGGTTTAACCAGGTGAGATAAATTCATATTTTGTAGCCTATCCTTCACTTCTACAATGATTCACAGTTCAATACTGACCTAGCTCTGTGCTTTGTTCATCCATGTGCTTGGTGTAGGAGTGAGGGCGTGGCTGTAGAGATCTTCCATGTTTTGCCAATTAAGTGACATTCATTAAATCCACTATTGCACTACAACCACCAAATTTACCACCTGGAAAAAAAGTAAAACTTGATAAATTTACAGAGGGCCATATTCATGTAGGGGAAGGCAGCCTAAGGATTCCTTTTATCACAACGGGGCTTGCTGGTTTCCATTCCCTACCCAAATTTGTGACATATTACTCTGCTTTCCTTTGGACCACATCAATGAGGTCAAGAAGGATGTCTTTTTGTCTGGGTAACCCAGGACCTCTATATACACTGCCCCGGTTTGCTGCTGGTAATGCAGCAGTTCAAGGAGATAGTTCAGCAAGTATACATTGTGGACACACAATATTGCAAAAAAAGAAACCATGATCCTTTTTCATTTGTGGACAGGCCCAGCCTCTTTCTCTTTGTAATGCCAATTGTCCTTTGGGTTATCAAAAAACAAAGAAGGAAGGGAAACCATTTTGCTGCTATGATTGCGTATTATGTCCAGAAGGGAAGATTTCCAACCAGACAGGTAAGAAACATCATGTATAGAGCCTTTAAAATGTACTGACAATAAGATATTCAGACACACAATTCCCTTGTGGTGTTCAGTTGTTCAGAAAATTCAGTATAATTGTTCAGAATTTTGTGAATGTTGTGGTTCCTTATATGGGGATACAGCCTAATATATTCAATGATATCAGTCCAAGCCACAGACAGCTGGTAATTAATCAGACAAAGGAGGTATCATAAAGTGAAAAAACAGCTAACGAATTGTTGGGTCTCTGGACCGTGATAAAGATTGATGATGATGATGATGAAAAAACAGAAACCTTCAGAAATATGAAAGAACTTCAGGGGAAAGCTAGGTGCAACAGCCCCTCTCTCTTAAAAACAAGACTCAAGAAACATTTTTAACAATTCAGAGATGCGATAAAACTGAAATACAACCTTGCTCCAGTCGACATATTGGAATGGGAAGTTCAAATCATGTTGGGATGTTTAAAAATGAGAACAAGTAAAATCTGCTAGAATGCTGACAGTAAGTGATAACATTGATCTTCAGATGTCGTGTTACGTCCTAACATTTGGGGGTGGGTAGGAATTGAATACGGCATTCTTCTAATAATATAATTACATGATAAGTGTGGCAAATTGTTTTTAAGATTTGAAGCTGGCAACCCTTATTTAAGGTTTGTTGTTTTAATTTTGATCATTTTAGTATTATGCATGTAGTGGTGCTCCTACGGCATTTCTTTTTCAGACATGGATGAATGCTTTCATTGCTCACCGGATCATTACCCAAATGTGGAAAAGGATTCATGCGTGGCAAAGGACATCCATTTCTTGTCTTATGGGGAACCCCTGGGGATCTCTTTGGCCTGCTTTGCTGCTTCCTTGTCCTTCCTTACAGCTTTGGTGCTTTGGATTTTCATTAGGCACCGGGACACTCCCATCGTCAAAGCCAACAACCGCAACCTCTCCTACACTCTCCTTATCTCCCTCTTGCTTGCTTTCCTTTGTGCTCTTCTATTCATCGGTCAACCTAAGAAAGTGACGTGTCTCCTTCGACAAACAGCTTTTGGCATCATCTTTTCAGTGGCAGTTTCTTGTGTGTTGACAAAGACAATCATTGTGGTCCTTGCTTTCATGGTCACCAAACCAGGGTCCAGCATGAGGAAATGGGTGGGGAAACAACAGGCCACTTCCATTCTTCTTTCCTGTTCCCTGATTCAAGCTGCTCTTTGTACTATGTGGTTGGCAACCTCTCCCCCATTTCCAGCTTTAGACATGTATTCAATGAGTAAAGAAATTGTTCTGGAATGTAACGAAGGGTCAGTCACCATGTTCTACTGTGTCTTGGGGTTTATGGGCTTGCTGGCCATTGTCAGCTTAGCTGTCGCCTTCCTAGCCAGGAAGTTACCCGACAGCTTTAATGAAGCCAAGTTTATCACCTTCAGTATGTTGGTATTTTGCAGTGTGTGGCTGTCCTTTGTTCCAACTTATTTAAGCACCAAAGGAAAATATATGGTGGCTGTGGAGATTTTCTCCATCTTGTCCTCCAGTGCTGGTTTACTAGGCTGTATATTTTCACCAAAATGTTATATTATTGTGATGAAGCCAGAGCTGAACAACAAGGACCAGTTAAGAAGACGAAATCACTGAAGCATCTACAATTCTATGGCCCTGGTCCCTCTAAATTTGTATCTACGCAAAGGGATTTAAGCCAGCCACAAATGATTAGTTCAACTGGATTGCAGTTTAGATTAGTTTCTCCCTTTATTCCCTCATTAGGCAGTACATATATATTGCAACATATGGATTGACTATAGGAACCATCCTATGTTAATATCAACTCCCTATCCCAAGTCTGCCAACCAAACAAGATATGGGAGCCAAAGCTTTCTTCCTGAGGTTTGCCAAATGTAGTGGCATTAATTATGTGCCACCTTGAGTGGATATGATGATACCCCCTCTTTGTAGCTATCCTATGTTAATTCATTATTTCCTCCCCACATCCGGCAGCCCAAAAACATATAGCCAACCCAAGAATGTAAGCTCTGCCCTTCCATTTTAAATGCCACAGCATTGCCATTTATTTCCTGAATGCAACAGTACAAACAATAAATCCAAGTTATACAGAGCCCAGGATTTGTGGGAAATTTATTTTGTCTGCCTATATGCAAATGGGCGATATCGTTTGGCTAGTAGTTCTGTGGAGATTCCCAACTCCAGAAACCTCCTGCCCCAAATCTGTGTGTCGTATCTAACTGCTTCATTTCATGAGTGCAAGCTTAATGGATTTTCTCCCTTCTCCTCACCCTGGGTGGGCCTCATACCCTCCCAATATCTGCTCCAGAGTGTAGGGGAAGGGAGAACCTAGGACAGATTTAGAGTTCAAATGGGGGAGCGGAAGATCGAACCTTTTACAAAAGGAAATGAGAAAAAAGTTCCTGAGCAGCTTTCCACCTGCCTGGCCCACAGGGGGCCAGAGGCAAAAGAGTGAGCAGCAACAAATGTAAGTTTTGCATTTGTATAGTACACAAGTATCTGCGTACACTCACAAGTCAAGTAAGGGGCATTATTGGAGTTCGAGGGCGCATTCCAATGAGGGAAAGATCTTTGGGTGTGGAGCTGGGTAGTAAGGGGTTTCACTTGGGAAGAATTCCAAATATCAGCATCATATTCAGCTCGCAGATCTGGAATTCCCAATCCCTGTTCTCATTGCATGAAGGCCAGAAAGGTCTGCATTCAGCAACCTGTCTAGCTCTGCTGGTGAGTGCATTTCATCTAGAAAAGCATTTCATCTTGTGTTATTCCCCCGAACAGCCAGGTTGTGGGCATAGCTTGGGTTTAATGGTCCTGCTTGTATGATCCTATACCTACATCATCTATTACAGCCACCATATAGTCAGCAGGGTGTTGTGATTAGAACAGTGGTTATTTTTGCTGCTTCTAAGGGATGTGATGCTATTAATGTCATCTTGCTATATTTATTATACTAAAATATTGGGGGGTTATGTTGTATTTGCTATTTTGTTCTTCATTTATTATGAAATTGTTCTTGACACTGTTGATTTTGAGACGTGTTCCTGTATTCTTGTTGTTAGCTACTTGGAGTAAGATTCTTTTTGTGGAAGTGCAGGGTACAAATAAAATTATGAATCAATGATTGACCTGTACTTTCAGTCTTCCCAGGACAGATCTCTAGCTAACGAGTCTATAATTTCAAGGGCCTTAAAGTTGATTGAAGCCAAACTCATATTAAGTTACCTTTGAAGTCTCTGCAATAGAGTACTTGGCAGGGAATGAATGTCTCTGTCAGACATTATAAGATGGGCAACATCTGGCATGGGAAGAGTGGGAGGGTCAGCTGGGATGGCGAATTGCTCTTTGCTCTCTGTGTTTCTCATTACAAATGAACAGAAGTCCAACAGAGAAGATGCAGTAGGAAAAAAAAATAGTAAAGGACCCACAAAGGGGAGGAGATAAGTCCATGGGGATTTATGGAATACCTTCCCACCCCCTTTTTGTTGCTTGAGGATTGTTTTTCGATTTGAAAAATTGAAAATAAATTTATTTTAAAAACCCCACAAGAAAAACAAATGAACAGAAGTCATGACTGTAGACATTACAAACTTAGGGCTTGTTTTCAACATTTAACTCCCTCCACACATACCATCTTTTCAAGGAGATTTGTGACATCATCTTATTCACCTGTCAGTTTCTGAATACCAGTGAGACCTGCACAGAGCAAGGTAAGTAACTTCACTTTCAAGTGTAATGCATCTAGTGTGGTATTTGCTCAAAGGTCCCTGCTTGTACAAAGATGAGAGTATAAATACCATCTGCTCCTAACTACTATAGTTACATCCACCTAGTTTCCTGCTACAAATTGCACTATCTTGGACTAATAATTCCCATAACACCATTAGATGATCACATGAGCTAGATGATTGCAGCCATTACATCTAAATGCCTGTAAATCTCAATGATATTATTATCCGCTCTGTAATTATGAAATTAAGCGTAGAAGCTTTGTTTCCACATATCAAGGAAGCTGCAAATATGAGTTGCATTATTATCAATGAAGATAGGAGGGTGCTGTGAATATTGCCAGTACATTTCCAAGGTGTAACAAGAGATAGTCAGAGATTGGTCAGGCTGATAACAGATGCTTTACACTGCACAATCTGACTCACAAATCAGTGTAGTATGTAGTTAAGTTAAGCTGCCCAACACAGCAAAGGACTTACTGAAAGAAAATGTGGGGACAGGAGAATTTAGGTAGAAGAGGAATTATTTCCTGCAAGATAGTTGGATTTGTATTATTGCCATCAGTGCTTCTACTTCAGGTGATGTTCAAGATTCCTAACACTAAGTGCAGCATCTGCAGTCCCCTTCCTTTTCTTCACAAGTATTACCAACCAGGAGACCTCATCGTTGCTGGTATTATGTCTCAGATCTCCATATTTTTCAACGCAATAGACTTCGATAAATGTCCTTCTAATGACCTCTTTGATGACATTGTGTAAGATTTGTTTTGCATTTCTTTTTTTAAAAAAATTTATTCATTTTATAACACAAATAAACAACACAAATAGAAAAACAAACAATACAAACAGATCCTTGTCTTATCCTTCTTTTTTCTAAACGTTGTAAGGAGGGCTTCCCCAAGTCCCACCTATCTGATTTTCATTTTACCTCATCTTTAGCAGTTTACATATATCATAATTTCTAACCATTTTTTTATCACACTTAAAAATCTTCACATTTCACTTACAAATAATACTATTTTAAAATACGCTATCTGCTACTTCTACCCCCTACAGCCTATATTCACTTCCAAAGCTATTCTAAGATTTAAATATTAACATATTTTTTCAACTATTCCTCAAACTTCTTCCAATCTTCTTCCACCATCTCTTTTCTCTGGTCTCAGAGTCTCCCAGTCAGTTCCGCAAGTTCCATATAGGCCATCATCTTCATCTGCCATTCTTCGATAGTTGGTAAATCTTCTTTCTTCCAATTCTTGGCTAGCAATATTCTCGCAGCTGTTGTGGCATACAGAAAAAAAGTAATATCCTTTTTTGGGATTTCACCCCCACTATTCCAAGTAAAAAGGCTTCTGGTTTCTTAATAAATGTGTTTTTCAACACTTTTTGCAGCTCATTATAAATCCTTTCCCAGAAGTCTTTTACTTTGGGGCACGTCCACCACATGTGGTAAATGGTTCCTTCTTTTTCTTTGCATTTCCAGCATTTATTATCACGAGTATGATGCATTTTTGTTAACTTCACTGGTGTTAAATACCATCTGTACATCATTTTTTGTGTGTTTTTATGTTTTAAAGTGCATTATGATCCTTGGATGAACAACAGTGTATAGAAATTTAATTTAAAAATAACTAGATTTAAACACCATAGTTTAGAGCTGGAACCTGTGCATGTTAATATTCCTCCAGATTTACCTGAATTCAGATTGATCAGTAAGATAGTATTGGGGCAGCTGAAGTGTAGAAATTTTCCTACCGAGGAGGAAACACACTGTGTTATAGCATGTAACTCTCATTTCAGGGTTATGACACAGCTCTACCAACATATCCTGGCATTAGTATTTGCTGTAAAGGAGATCAATGCAAACCTCCAAATCTTACCCAACCTCACCCTGGGCTTCCACATCTATAACAGCCATTTCAGTGCCACCTGGACCTATCGTTCCTCCTTGGAACTCCTCTCTACATACAGCAGATTCATCCCCAACTACAAGTGTGACTCCCAGAATGAACTAGCAGCAGTCATTGGAGGTCCGAACTCTGAGGTTTGTCTTCATATGGCAAGTATACTGAGCAACTACAGGATTCCACAGGTATCATTCTCTTAGAGCACCTCTCCTGTTAGAAACTACCCAGACCATTGGGTCTTCTTTTCAGGCAGAAACCTAGCACTTTGCAGGTGCCGATGATCAGTTGCCACTTCACAACTGTTACTGTGTTGATCCTTTGTCAGTCCTTTTTCATTTGCTTTTTCTCCTTGTTGCTTAATACAGAATGTTATTAACTGACTTGGAAATAAATGGTGAGGAGCTGGATAGATATCTTAATACAACTAATTGAAATAAGCTGGCTGAGGGACTACAGTAAGGTGTCCTGCAGATGTTATTGAAATCCAACTTTCAGCAGCCCCAGCCAGCAAGGGCAATGTGCTCATAGATTATGGGAGTTCTCATCCTACAATGGAAGATGGTGGAAGTCCTGTTTCACCATTGTAATGTAAGACATGGCACTACCATGAGAGGTAACTGACAATTATTGCTTGAGCAGATTGCCACAACCCTCGACCAGCATATACTTTGTGCTACTACAATTTCATTGGTGAGAACATTTTTCTATGTTTTGTGGATTGCTCATTCTTTAATGGTCTCTTAAGTTTGAGGAAAACCTGGACAACATCCCATGTCAGCAGCACTCCCTCAAAACAAAAGCTGAAATCTAGATTGTACTTTCACTGCAGCCAATACAAGTTAACATAGAAAACCACTGTGCACTTAAACAAAATTTCTCATCTCCTCATTTCCTATCTTTGATTTAGCTCATCTATGGTCCTGCTCCAATGAGAAATAATAAAAATGAAGTTGCTTTCCTTAACCAAATGTTTCCAAGTATAGACCATCAATATGAAGGGATTCTCATGTTACTGCTACACTTCAGATGGCTATGGACTGGTGTATTGATTGCGGATAATGAGAATGGAGAGAGGTTTCTACAGAGCGTGGTTCCAAAATTTATTCTGAGAGGAATCTGCTTTGATTTCATAGGAAGATTTCCAACAATGACTTATACTAATGGTATTACGGACGTAGTTGCAGATGGGCTCAAGACATTTAATGTTGCCATGAGAAGTACTGTTAATGTGTTGATCATTCATGGAGAAATTGATTCCATGACACTCTTAAGAATGTTTCCTGCTATGTCAGAATATGAAGATATACCAATAAAGGCTAAAGGCAAAGTTTGGGTCATGACAGTTCAGATGGATTTCACATCACTTCCCTATCAGAGAGATCAGGACATAGACTTCCTCCATGGTACTCTATCCTTCACAATTCACTCAGAGGAGGTCTTGGGATTCCAGGAATTTATTCAGATGAGAAATCCCATCTTGGAAAAAGAAGATGGCTTTATGAGGATATACTGGGAAAAGGCATTTCAGTGTCATTTCCCTGACTCTGAGGGAAATATGCAGGATGGAGATATTTGCACTGGGGAGGAGAAGCTGGAGACTCTTCCTGGCTCTATTTTTCCAACAAGCATGACTGGCCACAGCTATAGCATCTACAATGCAGTCTATGCTGTGGCACATGCTGTGCATGCCATGCATTCATCTAAATTCAAGCGCAGAGTGGATGAAGGACGGCTGAAGCTTTGGAATCAACAGATGTGGAAGGTAATATCATGATTACAATAATGCAGGAATGCTCACCATAGCCCAGGGAATAATAATAAAAAGGAAGAATCCAGAGTGTTTGAAAAGTTTCTGTTTCTACCAAGGGTGGTTAGCATCTAAAGACCAAATTACATGTGATATTGAAAGCATAGCTCACTGTTGTGTGAATCTGTTCTAGGGACCACACTCAGGGCTGTGACTGACTCACACTGAATGGGGCTAGCCCTTTATTCTTACTAATAGGAGATTACACCAGAAATTTCCATTTAAGGCCAAATGGCAGCTTCTTAGAATCATAGAATCATAGAGTTGGAAGAGACCACAAGGGCCATCGAGTCCAAGCCCCTGCCAAGCAGGAAACACCATCAGAAAGATTTTTCTCCCTCCCTCTCTCTCCCCCCCTCCCCCCTCCCTCCCCCCTCCCTCCCCCCCTCTCTCTCATTATTCTTCATGAAAAGATCTTATTAAAGAAACCTTACTGAAATTAAATGCCCATATGTACGTAGAGAAAGAGAGTACACAGGAGGTAATTGGTCTGCATTTACTTACTTAAGGCCATAAGAAGATGCTGCTGGACCAGGACATTGGCCCATCTAGTCCAGCATCCTTTTTTGTCAAAGGAAGATGATGGTGATGTAATGCTCAATGACTTCTATTGCATCCATTACTGGTCTTTATGAATCTTTTGAAGGGCCCATTGCTCATATCCCCAAGAACGAAAGTTCATCATCAACCTGTTATATTTTCTTATGAAATGCCCTTCTTTCCCCATGTTTCTGTCGGCATCCGGGGGCTGAAAGGCCAGCCGGCTAGCCCCCAGCTGGTTCATTTCCCTCTCAGCCTTCACACTGCGAAGACCCATCAAGCTCTGGCTCTGATATAAATTAGCGACTCAAGCTAGCTGACGAGCGCAAAATACGTAGCAGTGTAAACCGCACAAACAGCAGAGGCTGTGGGTACATACTACAACTACAGATTTATTTTTAATATATCAGAACAAAGAAACATGTCATCTTTCCTTGCCGTCTTCTCGGAGAGAGAGTCAAAACAAAAGCAATACAGCGGAAGTTCTGCTTACGCCAGCAAACTGTGCTGAAATGTAAACAGACATGTGACATGTAATAATCTCATGCCTGCAACTAAAGGTGTAATGGAATCTTCCAGCACTTTCCACCTGTCCAATTTGCTTAGTTGTTTGGTGAGAAATAATAATAATAATAATAAAAATTTATTTTTTATACCCCGCCCATCTGGCTGGGCTTCCCCAGCCACTCTGGGCAGCTTCCACCAAAATATTAAAATACAGTTATCCATCAAACATTAAAAGCTTCCTTAAATAGCTTCTTTAATAATAGTGCTGGGGGGGGAGTTTATATTAACCAAAATGGTCCACAAGACCCCTGGGGAAAGTGCACCATTCATGAGGATGCCATTGTATGGCCCAGCAGGTTGAACCAGCTTTGACTCCAGACATTTGTCTCTAGTCCTAAGGCAGGGATGGGGAACCTTCAGCCCTCCCTCCAGATGTTTCTGAACTGCAACACCCATATTCCCAGCAAACATAGCCAATACCTGTCGGTCCCGCACCCTACAACTACAATGTCTACATAGAAGTCTATGTGGTTGCACATGCTTTGCATGCCATGCACCCATCTAGACTCAAAGGCAGAATGACAGTGGATGAAGGAATAACATTTCAGAATGAGCAGTTGTGGACGGTAATGTCCCAAGCATGCTAAAAGCAGAGTAGAAAAGGTGATGGATCAGTTGAAAGGTTTCCCAAGGCAACCAACTTGATACCTGTGGGAAGTGTTCAATCATGACATTATGGCAATAGGCCACTCCCAACAGTCTGGTGTTCAGAGAGACGATGCCCCTTTTTCTGGAGCAAGTATATAGTCATTGTGGTTAATAGCCATAGATATCCAATTTCTTCCATGTCTAATCCCCACTGCTCACCAGATGCAAAGGAATAAGCAGAGAATCTAGATTCTCTGGAAAGTCCAAAAGCTCATAATAATAAGCATGGAGCAGGATTTTTTCCTGCTTCTACCTTCCACCACATCACGGTTATAAATGTAGAAGTTGCTATACCATTCTGACCTTCTCCACTGCTGCCCAGTCACTTCCTTCATTAGTACCACTGTTACATTTTACTATTGTAGTTTATTACTGGATCTGTTTATTGTTATACGTATCTCTCAACGTTCCTGCAATAAGCTCAAGGTGGCCAATCGGGCTCTTCCTCTCTCTGTATCCATTCTTCCTTGGTATAAAGCTTTTAAACAGTTCAGTAATCAATTGCGAATGATCACCAGCCTTTTGTATATTCTTATGAATTTGCTTTCTTTTAATTTCTCTCTAATTCTACCTATTCTTTCTCCCCAAACAGCTCAACCACTTTGTTAAAAGCATCTCATTTAATAATAGTGGTGGGGGGAAAGTTTCCTTCAACCAAAATGGAGAGTTAGAGTCTGGATTTGATATTATAAACTGGGTCACATTTCCAAACCAGTCCTTTCGGAGAGTGAAAGTTGGAAGGATCGACCCCATGGCTCCCAAAGAAGAAGTGTTCAGAATTTGTGAAGAAGCCATTGTGTGGCCCAGCAGGTTTAACCAGGTGAGATAAATTCATATTTTGTAGCCTATCCTTCACTTCTACAATGATTCACAGTTCAATACTGACCTAGCTCTGTGCTTTGTTCATCCATGTGCTTGGTGTAGGAGTGAGGGCATAGCTGTAGAGATCTTCCATGTTTTGCCAATTAAGTGGCATTCATTAAATCCACTATTGCACTACAATCACCAAATTTACCACCTGAAAAAAGTAAAACTTGATAAATTTACAGAGGGCCATATTCATGTAGGGGAAGGCAGCCTAAGGATTCCTTTTATCACAACGGGGCTTCCTCCTTTCCTTTCCCTACCCAAATCTGTGACATATTACTCTGCTTTCCTTTGGACCACATCAGTGAGGTCAAGAAGGATGTCTTTTTGTCTGGGCAACCCAGGACCTCTATATACACTGCCCCGGTTTGGTGCTGGTAATGCAACAGTTCAAGGAGATCGTTCAGCAAGTATACATTGTGGATACACAATATTGCAAAAAAAGAAACCATGATCCTCTTTCATTTGTGGACAGGCCCAGCCTCTTTCTCTTTGTAATGCCAATTGTCCTTTGGGTTATCAAAAAACAAAGAAGGAAGGGAAACCATTTTGCTGCTATGATTGCATATTATGTCCAGAAGGGAAGATTTCCAACCAGACAGGTAAGAGACATCATGTATAGAGCCTTTAAAATGTACTGACAATAAGATATTCAGACACACAATTCCCTTGTGGTGTTCAGTTGTTCAGAAAATTTAGTATAATTGTTCAGAATTCATTGAAGGTTGTGGTTCCTTATATGGGGATACAGCCTAATATATTCAATGATATCAGTCCAAGCCATAGACAGCTGGTAATTAATCAGACAAAGGAGGTATCATAAAGTGATAAAAACAGCTAACGATTTGTTGGGTCTCTGGACCGTAATAAAGATTGATGATGATGATGATGATGAAAAAACACAAACGTTCAGAAATATGAAAGAACTTCAGGGGAAAGCTAGGTGCAACAGCCTCTCTTAAAAAAAAGACTTAAGAAACATTTTTCACAATTCAGAGATGCGATAAAACTGAAATACAACCTTGCTCCAGTCGACATATTGGAATGGGAAGTTCAAATCATGTTGGGATGTTTAAAAATGAGAACAGGTAAAATATGCTAGAATGCTGACAGTAAGTGATAACATTGACCTTCAGATGTCGTGTTAGGTCCTAACATTTGGGGGTGGGAGGAATTGAATACGACATTCTTCTAATAATATAATTACATGAGAAGTGTGGCAAATTGTTTTTAAGATTTGAAGCTGGCAACCCTTATTTAAGGTTTGTTGTTTTAATTTTGATCATTTTAGTATTATGCATGTAGTGGTGCTCCTACAGCTTCTCTTTTTCAGACATGGATGAATGCTTTCATTGCTCACCGGATCATTACCCAAATGTGGAAAAGGATTCATGCGTGCCAAAGGTCATCCATTTCTTGTCTTATGGGGAACCCCTGGGGATCTCTTTGGCCTGCTTTGCTGCTTCCTTGTCCTTCCTTACAGCTTTGGTGCTTTGGATTTTCATTAGGCACCGGGACACTCCCATCGTCAAAGCCAACAACCGCAACCTCTCCTACACTCTCCTCATCTCCCTCTTGCTTGCTTTCCTTTGTGCTCTTCTATTCATCGGTCGACCTAAGAAAGTGACGTGTCTCCTTCGACAAACAGCTTTTGCCATCATCTTTTCAGTGGCAGTTTCTTGTGTGTTGACAAAGACAATCATTGTGGTCCTTGCTTTCATGGTCACCAAACCAGGGTCCAGCATGAGGAAATGGGTGGGGAAACAACAGGCCACTTCCATTATTCTTTCCTGTTCCTTGATTCAAGCTGCTCTTTGTACTGTGTGGCTGGCAACCTCTCCCCCATTTCCAGCTTTAGACATGCATTCAATGAGTAAAGAAATTGTTCTGGAATGTAACGAAGGTTCAGTCACCATGTTCTACTGTGTCTTGGGGTTTATGGGCTTGCTGGCCATTGTCAGCTTCTCTGTAGCCTTCCTAGCCAGGAAGTTACCCGACAGCTTTAATGAAGCCAAGTTTATCAGCTTCAGTATGTTGGTATTTTGCAGTGTGTGGCTGTCCTTTGTTCCAACTTATTTAAGCACAAAAGGAAAATATATGGTGGCTGTGGAGATTTTCTCCATCTTATCCTCCAGTGCTGGTTTACTAGGCTGTATATTTTCACCAAAATGTTATATTATTGTGATGAAGCCAGAGCTGAACAACAAGGACCAGTTAAGAAGACGAAATCAGTGAAGCATCTACAATTCTATGGCCCTGGTCCCTCTAAATTTGTATCTACGCAAAGGGATTTAAGCCAGCCACAAATGATTAGTTCAACTGGATTGCAGTTTAGATTACAGTTTCTCCCTTTATTCCCTCATTAGGCAGTACATATATATTGCAACATATGGATTGACTATAGGAACCATCCTATGTTAATATCAACTCCCTATCCCAAGTCTGCCAACCAAACAAGATATGGGAGCCAAAGCTTTCTTCCTTAGGTTTGCCAAATGTAGTGGCATTAATTATGTGCCACCTTGAGTGGATATGATGATACCCCCTCTTTGTAGCTATCCTATGTTAATTCATTATTTCCTCCCCACATCCGGCAGCCCAACAACATATAGCCAACCCAAGAATGTAAGCTCTGCCCTTCCATTTTAAATGCCACAGCATTGCCATTTATTTCCTGAATGCAACAGTACAAACAATAAATCCAAGTTATACAGAGCCCAGGATTTGTGGGAAATTTATTTTGTCTGCCTATATGCAAATGGGCGATATCGTTTGGCTAGTAGTTCTGTGGAGATTCCCAACTCCAGAAACCTCCTGCCCCAAATCTGTGTGTCGTATCCAACTGCTTCATCTCATGAGTGCAAGCTTAATGGATTTTCTCCCTTCTCCTCACCCTGGGTGGGCCTCATACCCTCCCAATATCTGCTCCAGAGTGTCAGGGGAGGAAGAACCTAGGTCAGATTTAGAGTTCAAATGGGGGAGCGGAAGATTGAACCTTTTACAAAAGGAAATGAGAAAAAAGTTCCTGAGCAGCTTTCCACCTGCCTGTCACACAGGGGGCCAGAGGCAAAAGAGTGAGCAGCAACAAATGTAAGTTTTGCATTTGTATAGTACACAAGTATCTGCGTACACTCACAAGTCAAGTAAGGGGCATTATTGGAGTTCGAGGGCGCATTCCAATGAGGGAAAAGATCTCTGGGTGTGGAGCTGGGTAGTAAGGGGTTTCGCTTGTTAAGAATACAAAATATCAGCATCATATTCAGCTCGCAGATCTGGAATTCCCAATCCCTGTTCTCATTGCATGAAGGCCAGAAAGGTCTGCCCTCAGCAACCTGTCTAGCTCTGCTGGTGAGTGCATTTCATCTAGAAAAGCATTTCATATTGTGTTATTCCCCCGAACAGCCAGGTTGTGGGCATAGCTTGGGTTTAATGGTCCTGCTTGTATGATCCTGTATCTACATCATCTATTACAGCCACCATATAGTCAGCAGGGTGTTGTGGTTAAATCAGTGGTCAGTTCTGCTGTTTCTAAGAGGTGCAATGCTATTAATGTCATCTTGCTATATTTACTATACTAAAATATTGGGTTTTTTATATTGTTATATTTGCTACTTTGTTGTTCTTTTATTATGAAATATGAATTCTTGACACTGCGGATTTTGAGATGTGTTCCTGTATTCTTGTTGTTAGCTACTTGGAGTTCATGCTTTTAGTGGAAGTGCAGTGTATAAATAAAAATGCTAATGAATGATTGACTTGTATTTCAGTCTTCCCAGGGCAGATTTTAAGCTAACCTGTCTATAGTTTCTAGGGTCTTAAGGTCCACTGAAGCCAAACTCATCTTAAGTTACCTTGGAAGTTTCTGCAATACAGTACTGGGCAGGGAATTAATAGTCTCTGTCTGGCAGACATTATAAGATGGGCAACATCTGCCATGTGAAGAGGGGGAGGGTCAGCTGGGATGACGAATTGCTCTTTGCTCTCTGGGTATCTCATTACAAATGAACAGAAAACCAATAGAGAAGATGCAGGATAAAAAAGTTAATAAAGGATCCACAACATGGAGGAGAGAAGTCCATGGGGATTTATGGAATACTTCTTCTTCTTCTTTTTTTTTGGTTGCTTGATGATTGTTTTTTGATTTGAAAAATTGAAAATAAATAAATTTATAAAAAAAACCAACAAAACAAATGAACAGAATTCAGGAATGCAGAGAACACAAACTTAAGGCTGGGTTTTCAATGACATTTAACACCCTCAACAAACATCATTTATTCAAGGGGATTTCTGACATCATCATATTAATCTGTCAGTTTGTGAATACCAGTGAGACCTGCACAGAGCAAGCTGAATAACTTCACTTTCAAGTGTAATGCATCTAACATGGTATTTGCTCAAAGGTCCCTGCTTGTAATAAGAATATAAATATCATCTGCTCCCAACTACTATAGTTACATCCACGTAGTTTCCTGCTACAAATTGCACTATCTGGGACCATTAATTCCCATAATACCATTAGATGACCACATGAGCTGGATGAATGCAGCTGTCACATCTAAGTGCCTGTAAATCTCAATGATATTATTATCCTCCCTGTAATTATGAAATTAAGCATGGAAGCTTCGTTTGCACATTATCAAGGGAGTTGCAGATATGAGTTGCATTATTATCAATGAAGATAGGAGGGTGCTGTGAATATCGCTGGTACAATTCCAAGGTGTAACAAGAGATAGTCAGAGATTGGTCAGACTGATAACAGATGCTTTACACTGCACAATCTGACTCACAAATCAGTGTAGTATGGAGTTAAGTTAAGCTGCCCAACACAGCAAAGGACTTACTGAAAGATAATGTGGGGACAGGAGAATTTAGGTAGAAGAGGAATTATTTCATGTAAGATAGTTGGATTTATATTACTATTGCCATCAGTGCTTCTGCTTCAGGTGATGTGCAAGATTCCTAACACTAAGTGCAGCATCTGCAGTCCGCTTCCTTTTCTTCACAATTATTACCAACCAGGAGACCTCATCGTTGCTGGTATTATGTCTCAGATCTCCATATTATTCAGCCCAATAGACTTTGATAAATGTCCTTCTACTGACCTCTTTGATGACATTGTGTAAGATTTGTTTTGTAAAAACCTCTGGTACCATATGTTATATCAATTTTCCCTAGGAGTGCCAGGCCCATAGAGCAGTGGTAGATCCAGTGAATGAGAGAAGAAGGACAGCTTTCTCTGTCTTTGGCAAATAGTTGCATCATGCCCATATTAATCATCATCTGTTATCTTTTTAGTTGTGGCAGCCATGAATCTAATATCAGCAGCTTAAGGAGCATTTCAAGCCCAGAATCTGCCACAATGTCCAGAGTTTGGAACAGACAGATCTTGGGCTAAGCAACATTATTATCTGTACATCATAACTCAGATTAGTGGGGTACAAATCACTCAAGTGAGCCTTAACTGTTTAAGGACTGCAGTACCTAAAAAACTATTATGCCCCATATGAACTAACTGAGACCTTACGATCATCATCTGAGGCCTTTCTTTTGTGTCACCTTCACAAAAGGTTCAGAGCCTTTTTCTGGAGTGGCCCCTCTTTGTAGAATACGCTGCTAAGGGAGGCTCACCTGGTGCCTTTGTTACATTTTTTAAGGAGCCTTATGTATTTTTGTGTTTTTATGTTTTAAAGTGCCCTATGATCCGTGGATGAACACCTGTGTAGAAATTTAATTTTAAAAATAAGTAGATTTAAATACCATAGTTTAGAGCTGGAACTTGTGCATGTTAATATGCCTCCAGATTTACCTGAATTGAGATTGATCAGTAAGTTAGTATTGGTGTAGCTATGGTGTCGCAATTGTACTATCCAGAAGGAAATGCACTGTGTTACAGCATGTAACTCTCATTTCAGGGTTATGACACAGCTCTACCAACATATCCTGGCATTAGTATTTGCTGTAAAAGAGATCAATGCTAACGTCCAAATCTTACCCAACCTCACTCTGGGCTTCCACATCTATAACAGCCATTTCAGTGCCAGCTGGACCTATCGTTCCTCCTTGGAACTCCTCTCTACATACAGCAGATTCATCCCCAACTACAAGTGTGACTCCCAGAATGAACTAGCAGCAGTCATTGGAGGTCCGAACTCTAAGGTTTGTCTTCATATGGCAAGTATACTGAGCAACTACAAGATTCCACAGGTAACAATCTCTCAGAGCTCCTCTCCTGATAGAAAACTACCCAGAACATTAGGTCTTCTTTTCAGACAAAATGATGGTAATTTGCAAGCACCAATGATCAGCTGCCACTTCGCAACTGTTACAGTGTTGATCCTTTGTCGGTTCTTTTTTATTTGCTTTTTCTCCTTGTTGCTTAATATAGAATGTTATTAACTGACTTAGAATCATAGAATCATAGAGTTGGAAGAGACCACAAGGGCCATCGAGTCCAAACCCCTGCCAAGCAGGAAACACCATCAGAGCACTCCTGACATATGGTTGTCAAGCCTCTGCTTAAAGACCTCCAAAGAAGGAGACTCCACCACACTCCTTGGCAGCAAATTCCACTGTCAAACAGCTCTTACTGTCAGGAAGTTCTTCCTAATGTTTAGGTGGAATCTTCTTTCTTGTAGTTTGGATCCATTGCTCTGTGTCCGCTTCTCTGGAGCATCAGAAAACAACCTTTCTCCCTCCTCCATATGACATCCTTTTATATATTTGAACATGGCTATCATATCACCCCTAACCTCCTCTTCTCCAGGCTCAACATGCCCAGCTCCCTTAGCCGTTCCTCATAAGGCATCGTTTCCAGACTTTGACCATTTTGGTTGCCCTCCTCTGGACACGTTCCAGTTTGTCAGTGTCCTTCTTGAACTGTGGTGCGCAGAACTGGACACAGTACTCCAGGTGAGGTCTGACCAGAGCAGAATACAGTGGCACTATTACTTCCCTTGATCTAGATGCTATACTCCTATTGATGCAGCCCAGAATTGCATTGGCTTTTTTAGCTGCCGCTTCAAACTGTTGGCTCATGTCAAGTTTGTGGTCAACCAAGACTCCTAGATCCTTTTCGCATGTACTGCTCTCAAGCCAGGTGTCCCCCATCTTGTATTTGTGCCTCTCATTTTTTTTGCCCAAGTGCAATACTTTACATTTCTCCCTGTTAAAGTTCATCTTGTTTGTTTTGGCCCAGTTCTCTAATCTGTCAAGGTCGTTTTGAAGTGTGATCCTCTCCTCTGGGGTGTTAGCCACCCCTTCCAGTTTGGTGTCATCTGCAAATTTGATCAGGATGCCCTTGAGTCCATCATCCAAGTCGTTGAAAGATGTTGAATAAGACCGGGCCCAAGACAGAACCCTGTGGCACCCCACTAGTAACTCTTCTCCAGGATGAAGAGGAACCATTGATGAGCACCCTTTGGGTTCGGTCAGTCAGCCAGTTACAAATCCACTGAGTGGTAGCATAGTCAAGACTGCATTTTACCAGCTTCTTTACAAGAATATCATGGGGCACCTTGTCGAATGCCTTGCTGAAATCAAGGTAGGCTACATCCACGACGTTCCCTTCATCTACCAGGCTTGTAATTCTGTCAAAAAACGAGATCAGGTTAGTCTGACATGACTTATTTTTCAGAAATCCATGCTGACTATTGGTGAACACGGCATTCCTTTCTAGGTGCTCACAGACTGTTTGCTTAATGATCTGCTCCAGAATCTTCCCTGGTATTGATGTCAGATTGACTGGGCGATAATTATTTGGATCCTCTCCTTTCCCCTTTTTGAAAATAGGGACAACATTTGCCCTCCTCCAGTCTGCCGGGACTTGGCCTGTTCTCCAGGAATTCTAAAGATGACTGCCAGTGGTTCTGAGATCACATCTGCCAGTTCTTTTAATACTCTTGGATGCAGTTTGTCTGGCCCTGGAGACTTGAATACATCTAAACTAGCCAAGTATTCTTGTACTATCTCCATAGTTATTCTGGGCTGTGTTTCCTCTGCTGACTCATTTGCTCCAAATTCTTCAGGTCGGGCATTGTTTTCTTTATCGGAGAAGACTTGGAAATAAATAGTGAGGAGCTAGATATCTTAATACAAATTATTGAAATAAGCTGCCTGAGGGACTACAGTAAGGTGTCCTACAGATGTTATTGAAATCCAACTTTCACCAGCCCCAGCCAGCAAGAGCAACCTATTCATAGATTATGGGAGTTCTTATCCTACAATGGAATACGGCGGAAGTCCTGTTTCACCAGTGTAATGTAAGACATGGCACTACCATGAAAGTTAACTGAGCATTATTGCTTGAGCAGATTGCCACAACCCTCGACCAGCACATACTTTGTGCTACTACAATTTCACTGGTGAGAACATTTTTCTATGTTTAGTGGATTGCTCATTCTTTAATGTTCTCTTAAGCTTGAGGAAGTTTGAGGAAAACCTGGACAAGATCCCATGTCAGCAGCACTCCCTCAAAACAAAATCTGAAATCTAGATTGTATTTTCACTGCAGTCAATACAAGTTAACATAGAAAACCACTGTACACTTAAACAAAATTTCTCATCTCCACATTTCCTGTCTTTGATTTAGCTCATTTATGGTCCTGCTCCAATGAGAAATATTAAAACTGAAGTTGCTTTCCTTAACCAAATGTTCCCAAATATAGACCATCAATATGAAGGGATTCTCAAGTTATTGCTACACTTCAGATGGCTCTGGACTGGTGTGGTGATTGTGAATTATGAGAATGGAGAGAGGTTTCTACAAAGCATGATTCCAAAATTTATTCGGAGAGGAATCTGCTTTGATTTCATAGGAAGATTTCCATCAATGTCTTATACTAATGGTGTTACAGACTTGGTTGCAGATGGGCTCAAGTCATTTAATGTTGCCATGAGAAGTACTGTTAATGTGTTGATCATTCATGGGGAAATTGATTCCATGACACTTTTGAGAATGTTTCCTGCTATATCAGAATATGAAGATATACCAATAAAGGCTAAAGGGAAAGTTTGGGTTACGACAGTACAGATGGATTTCACATCACTTCCCTTTCAGAGAGATCAGGACATAGACTTCCTCCATGGTACTCTATCCTTCACAATTCACTCAGAGGAGGTCTTGGGATTCCAGGAATTTGTTCAGATGAGAAATCCCATCTTGGAAAAAGAAGATGGCTTTATGAGGATATACTGGGAAAAGGCATTTCAGTGTCATTTCCCTGACTCTGAGGGAAATATGCAGGATGGAGATATTTGCACTGGGGAGGAGAAGCTGGAGACTCTTCCTGGCTCTATTTTTCCAACAAGCATGACTGGCCACAGCTATAGCATCTACAATGCAGTCTATGCTGTGGCACACGCCGTACATGCCATGCATTCATCTAAGTTGAAGCGCAGGGTGGATGAAGGGCGGCTGAACCTTTGGAATCAACAGATGTGGAAGGTAATATCATGAGCACAATAATGCAGGAATACTCACCATAGCCCTGGAAGTAACAATAAAAAGAAAGTATCCAGAGTGATTGAAAGGCTTTTATTTCTGCCAAAGGTGGTTAGCATCTCAAGACCATGGGTCTTGGTTTTGCCAAGGGTGGTTAGCATCTCAAGACATGTGACATTGAAAACATAGCTCACTGTTGTGTAAATCTGTTCTAGAGACCTCAGTTAGGACTGTGACTGACTCATACTGAATGGGGTTAGGCCTTTCATCTTACTAATAGGAGATTACACCAGGAGATTCCATTTAATGCCAAATGGCAGCTTCTTCAGAAGGATTTCTCTCTCTCTCTCTCCTCTTCATAAAAAGATCTTATTAAAAAAAATTACTGTAATCAAATGCCCATATGTATGCCGAGAAAGAGAGTATACAGGAGGTAATTGTTCTGCATTCACTTACTTAAGGCCGTACGAAGATATTGCTGGACCAGGACATTGGACCATCTAGTCCAGCATCCTCTTTTGTCAAAAGAAGATGATGGTGATGAAGTGCTCAGTGACTTCTATTATATCCATTATTGGTCTTTATGAATCTTTTGAAGCGCCCATTGCTCATATCCCTCAAGAAGGAAAGTTCATCATCAACCTGTTATATTTGCTTGTGAAATACCCGCCTTTTCCAGTCATTCCCCCTGCCCAATTTAGCTCAGCTGCTGGTGAGAAATAGCTTCTTTAAGAATAGTGCTGGGGAAATTGTTTATTTCAACCAACATGGAGAAGTAGAGGCTGCATATAATATCATAAACTGGGTGACATTCCCAAACCTGTCCATTCTTAGAGTGAGAGTTGAAGGAGTAGACCCATGGGAACCCCTGGGCAAAGAGTTCACCATTCATGAGAATACCATTGTATGACCCAGCAGGTTCAACAAGGTTTGATTCCAGACACATTTTTGCAGGCCATTTTGCAAAAGAAGTGTCATGGAAATACTTCTGTCTCTAGTCCTAAGGCAGGGATGGGGAACCTTCAGCCTTCCTGATGTTTCTGAACTGCAACACCCATATTCCCAGCAAACCTAGCCAATACCTGTAGGTCCCGCACCGTACAACTACAATGTCTATATAGAAGTCTATGTGGTTGCACATGGTTTGCATGGCATGCACACATCTTGACTGAAAGGAAGAATAACAGTGGATGAAGGAAAAACATTTCAGAATGAGCAGTTGTGGACGGTAATCTCCTGAGCGTGCTAAAAGTGGAGTAGAAATTATGATGGATCAGTCCAAAGGTTTCCCAAGGCAGTGGGAAGTGCTCAATCTGGACATAATGGCAATAGTTCACTCCCAACAGTCTGGTGTTCAGAGCGACAATGCCATTTTTTCTGGAGCAAGTATAAAGTCATTGTGGCTAATAGCCATAGATATCCAATTTCTTCCTTGACTTCATCTAATCTCCACTGTTCACCAGATACAAAGGAATAAGCTGAGAATCTAGATTCTCTGGAAAGTCCAAAAGCTGATAATAAGAAGCATGGAGCAGGGGTTTTTTCTGCTTCTACCATCCACCACGTCACGGTTATAAATGTAGTGGTGGCTAATGCCATTCTGACCTGCTCCACTGCTGCCCAGTCACTTCCTTCGTTAGTACCACTGTTACATTTTATTATTGTAGTTTATTACTCTATCTGTTTATTGTTGTACATATATCTCAACGTTCCTGCAATAAGCTCAAAGTGGCATATAGGGCTCTTCCTCCCTCCGTATCCATTCTTCCTTGCTATAAAGCTTTAAACAGTTCAGTAATCAATCGTGAATGATCACAAGCCTGATCACCTATATTCTTATGAATTTGCTTTCTTTTAATTTCTCTCTAATTCTATATGTTCTCCCCGCCCCAAAACAGCTCAACCACTTTGTTAAAAGCATTTCGTTTAATAATAGTGGTGGGGGAAAATTTTCCTTCAACCAAAATGGAGAGTTAAAGTCTGGATTTGATATTATAAACTGGGTTACATTTCCAAACAAGTCCTTTCGGAGGGTGAAAGTTGGAAGGATCGACCCCATGGCTCCCCAAGAAGAAGCATTCAGCATTTGTGAAGAAGCCATTGTGTGGCCCAGCAGGTTTAACCAGGTGAGATAAATTCATATTTTGTAGCCTATCCATCAGTTCTACAACGATTCGCAATTCAGATACTGACCTAGCTCTGTGCTATGCTCCTCCATGTGCTTAGTGTAGGAGTGAGGGCATGGCTGTAGAGATCTTCCATGTTTTGCCAATTAAGTGACATTCATTAAATCCACTCTTGCACTACAACCACCAAATTTACCACGTGGAAAAAAAGTAAAACTTGATAAATTTACAGAGGGTCATATTCGTGTAGGGGAAGGCTGCCTAAGGATTCCTTTTATCACAACGGGGCTTGCTCATTTCCTTTCCCTACCCAAATATGTGACATAGTGCTCTGCTTTCCTTTGGACCACATCAGTGAGGTCAAGAAAAATATCTTTTTGTTTGGGTAACCCAGGACCTCCATATACACTGCCCAGGTTTGGTGCTGGTAATGCAACAGTTCAAGGAGATCGTTCAGCAAGTATACACTGTGGATACACAATATTGGGAAAAACAACAACCATAATCCTCTTTCATTTGTGGACAGGCACAGCCTCTTTCTCTTTGTAATGCCAATTGTCCTCTGGGTTATCAAAAAACAAAGAAGGAAGGGAAACCATTTTGCTGCTATGATTGTGTATTATGTCCAGAAGGGAAGATTTCCAACCAGACAGGTAAGAGACGTCATTCATAGAGCCTTTAAAATGTACTGACACTAAGATATTCAGACACGCAATTCCCTTGTGGTGTTCAGTTGTTCAGAAAATTCAGGAAAGTTGTTCAGAATTCGGTGAAGGTTGTGGTTCCTGATATGGGGATACAGCCTGATATATTCAATAATATCAGTCCAAGCCACTGTCAGCTGGTAATTAATCAAACGAAGGAGGTATCACAAACGGAATAAGCAGAAACCTTCAGAAATATGAAAGAACTTCAGGGGAAAGCTAGGTGCAACAGCCTCTCTCTCTTAAAAAACAAAATCCAAGAACCATTTTTCACAATTCGGAGATGTGATAAAACTGAAATACAACCTTGATCCAGTTGACATATTAGGATGGGAAGTTCTAATCATGTTGGTATGTTTAAAAATGTGAACAAGTAAAATCTGCTAGAATCCTGACTGTAAGAGATAACATTGAGCTTCAGAAGTCATGTTAGGTGCTAACATCTGGGGGTGGGTGGGAATTGAATAAGGCATGTGGCTAATAGTATAATTAAATGAGAAGTGTGGCAAATTGTTTTTCAGATTTCAAGCTGGCAACCCTTATTTAAGTTTTGTTGTTTTCATTTTAATCATTTTAGAATTATGCATGTAGTGGTGCTCCTATGGCTTCTCTTTTTCAGACATGGATGAATGCTTTCAATGCCGACCGGATCATTACCCAAATGTGGAAAAGGATTCATGCGTGGCAAAGGACATCCATTTCTTGTCTTATGGAGAACCACTGGGGATCTCTTTGGCCTGCTTTGCTGTTTCCTTGTCCTTCCTTACAGCTTTGGTGCTTTGGATTTTCATTAAGCACCGGGACACTCCCATCGTCAAAGCCAACAACCGCAACCTCTCCTACACTCTCCTCATCTCCCTCTTGCTTGCTTTCCTTTGTGCTCTTCTATTCATTGGTCGACCTGAGAAAGTGACATGTCTCCTTCGACAAACAGCTTTTGGCATCATCTTTTCAGTGGCAGTTTCTTGTGTGTTGACAAAGACAATCATTGTGGTCCTTGCTTTCATGGTCACCAAACCAGGGTCCAGCATGAGGAAATGGGTGGGGAAACAACAGGCCACTTCCATTATTCTTTCCTGTTCCTTGATTCAAGCTGCTCTTTGTACTTTGTGGCTGGCAACTTCTCCCCCATTCCCAGCTTTAGACATGAACTCAATGAGTAAAGAAATTGTTCTGGAATGTAATGAAGGGTCAGTCACCATGTTCTACTGCGTCTTGGGGTTTATGGGCCTGCTGGCCATTGTCAGCTTCTCTGTAGCCTTCCTAGCCAGGAAGTTACCTGACAGCTTTAATGAAGCCAAGTTTATCACCTTCAGCATGCTGGTATTTTGCAGTGTGTGGCTGTCCTTTGTTCCAACTTACTTAAGCACAAAAGGAAAATATTTGGTGGCTGTGGAGATCTTCTCCATTTTAGCCTCCAGTGCTGGTTTACTAGGCTGTATATTTTTCCCAAAATGTTATATTATTGTGGTGAAGCCAGAGCTGAACAACAAGGACCAGTTAAGAAGAAGAAATCAGTGAAGCACCTACAATTCTATGGCCCTGCTCCATCTAAATTTGTATCTACGCAAAGGGATTTAAGCCAGCCACAACTGATTAGTTCAACTGGATTTCAGTTTAGATTACAGTTTCTCCCTTTATGCCCTCATTAGGCAGCACATATATATTGCAACATATGGATTGAATATAGGAACCATCCTGTGTTAATATCAACTCCCTATCCCAAGTCTGCCAACTAAACAAGATATGGGAGCCAAAGCTTTCTTCCTTAGGTTTGCCAAATGTAGTGGCATAATTATCTGCCACCTTGAGTGGATATGAAGATACCACCTCTTTGGAGCTATCCTATGTTAAATCATTATTTCCTCCCCACATCCGGCAGCCCAACAACATAGAGCCAACCTAATGTAATATAAGGTCTGCCCTTCCATTTTGAATGCCACAGCATTGTCATTTATTTCCTGAATAATTTCCAGTACAAACAATAAATCCAAGTTATACAGAGCCCAGGATTTGTGGGAAATTTATTTTGTCTGCCTATATGGAAATGGGCGATATCATTTGGCTAGTTGTTCTATGGAGATTCCCAACTCCAGAAACCTCCTGCCCCAACTCTGTGTGTTGTATCCAACTGCTTCATCCCATGAGTGCAAGCTTTTCTGCTTGTACAATGGATTTTCTCCCTTTTCCTCTCCCTGCGTGGGCCTCATACCCTCCCAATATCTGTTCCAGAGTGTCGGGGGAGGGAGAACCTAGGACAGATTTAGAGTTCAAATGGGGGAGCGGGAGATCGAACCTTTTACAAAAGGAAATGAGAAAAAAGTTCCGGAGCAGCCATCCACCTGCCTATCACACATGGGGTCAGAGGCAAAAGTGTGAGCAGCAACACATGTAAATTTTGCATTTGTACAGTACACTAGTACCTGCACACACTCACAAGTCAAGTAAGGGGCATTACTAGAGTTCAGGGACACATTCCAGTGAGGGGAAAAACTCTGGGTGTGGAGCTGGGTAGTAATGGTTTTCAACTGGGAAGAATTCCAAATATCAGCATCATATTCAGCTCCCAGATCTGGAATTCCCAAGCCCTGTTCTCATTGCATGAAGGCCAGAAAGGTCTGCACTCAGCAACCTGTTTAGCTCTTCTGGTGAGTGCATTTCATCTAGCAAAGCATTCCATCTTGTGTTCTTCCCCCGAACGGTCTGGTTGTGGAGCAAAGCTTATGTATAATGCTCTGGCTTGTATGTTACTGAATCTACATAATTTATTACAGCCACCATATAGTCAGCAGGGTGTTGTGGTTGGATTAGTGGTTATTTTTGCTGTTTCCAAGAGGTGTGATGCTTTAATGTCATCTTGCTATATTTCTTACACTAAACTATTCCTTTTTCTATGTTGTTATATTTGCTATTTTGCTGTTCTTTTATTATGAAATTGTTCTTGACGCTGTTGATTTTGAGATTTCTTCCTGTATTCTTGTTGTTAGCTACTTAGAGTAAGATGCTTTCAGTGGAAGTGCAGTGTATAAATAAAAATACTAATGAATGATTGACCTGTATTTCAGTCTTTCTTCCCAAGACAGATGTTAAGCTAACCAGTCTAGGGCCTTAAGGTCCAGTGAAGCCAAACTCATCTTAAGTGAACTTGGAAGTTTCTGCAATACAGTACTGGGCAGAGAGTTTGGATTTGATATCCTGCCTTTCACTCCCCTTCAGGAGTCTCAAAGCGGCTCACATTCTCCTTTCCCTTCCTCCCCCACAACAAACACTCTGTGAGGTGCGTGGGGCTGAGAGACTTCAAAGAAGTGTGACTGGCCCAATGTCACCCAGCAGCTGCATGTGGAGGAGTGAAGATGCGAACCCAGTTCCCCAGAATACGAGACTACCACTCTTAACCACTACACCACACTGCCTGACATGAATAGTCTCTGGCAGACATTATAAGATGGTCAACATCTAGCATGGGAAGAGTGGAGGGTCAGCTGGGATGACGAGTTGCTCCTTGCTCTCTGGGTATTTCATTACAAATGAACAGAAGTCCAACAGAGAAAATGTGGAGAAAAAAGTTAATAAAGCATGTTCTCAATGAAGGAGAGCATGGGTTGCGGATGGGGCTTGCAGAACACCCCATAGTTGCCAGGCTGGATAGATTCAAGGCTTTGAATCAGATTGGAGGTGGGAGTTGCTAGGGCAAATTAGATGTTGCCAATTTAGGGGTGGGACCTGAGGTTATTTAAGCAAGGTCCACAGCTCTTTTCCTTTCTCTTTCGCTGTGGACACCGGATCATCAACACCGGATCGAATCAGCGAGAGTGGTTTTGTACCTTTATCCCCTGATTTTATTCCTGCTTTTCTCTCTTCCTCTCATTATTGTTTACCTTCATTTCTTTCCTTTATTTTACCATCGCCTGTTAATTTGCATTTACTTTCATTGCCTGGCCTGTTCCTGGGCTGCTCCCACCTGGGAGGGGGGAGGGCCCTGATCCCGGGTGGCCTTAGCCCGGCGCTCGCCATCGCGGCCGGCCGAATCTGGTCCCTGGGAGGCTGGGCGCGCTTCGAGGGGTGACTGGCTGTGCCCCCCCTTTTTGTTTTTGGGGTTTGCCCGCCTGCCGCTGCGCGGCCCGGTTTGGGCCTATTTTGCGGCCTATTGGCTCCCGGGTGTTTCCCGGGGCCTTAGCCGCAGCGCCGCGCTTGGGGCTGTGCCAACGACTCACCGGCCTCGTGACGCCTCTGGGTCGGCCTCCGTTGCAGCGCGCGCGGCGGCGGCGGGTCCTTACTGTCCCGCGGCGCCTCCTGGGGCTCCGTTGCGGCCTGGGCGGTGCGGCGCGCTCCCCTAAGGGCCAGGCGCGTGGCCTTGGCCCCCCTTTCTTCCGCTCCTAGGCCGGAGCGTTGCAGGCCCGCCATTGCGTGTTTAGCGCCATTTTACCTATTTCTGGGCTAGTGGCGGCATCTAGTGGCCGGACCTGGTAATTGCAGGCTACTGTGGTTTGCCTGCAGGCCTTTTGGTGGCCTGTATAAAAATAGTGTGCTTGCTTTTAACTGAAGTGTTCTGCAGACACTTTTGATCTTTACCAGTCATTTATTTCATTGATATTTGGAGGCATTACTGCTGGTCTTTTCAGTTAAATTTTATTTTACCTGCTTTTCTCTTGTTTTATTTAGTTTCCCATTAATTAAGTTGTTTCTTTTCCTCCAGCAGTAGGATGGCACCAAAGAAGGTAGCAAAGGGGCCTGCTCCTGCCCCCCCTGCAAAGAGACCTATAAAAGGCCCATCCCAGGCATTACGTTCTCCTGAGTCTGGCCAGTCAATGAAGCGCATCCAGGCTATGATTTCTAGTGTGGCTGGCGACCCGGTGGCGCTGGCGCGGGTTGAGGCGGAAATGGATAGTCTCTTGCACCGTTCATCAACCCCCTCGACGTCATCTGCAATGCCGGCACGTCCCATGGGTGTTTCTTCGCCAGGCGTGTCATCTAGTGAAGATGAGAGAGAACCATTGTCAACTACAGATTACTTACCTATGGTGCAAATGTCTCAGCCCCCGGCCTTACCTGTGTCACAGGTGGCCGCGCCTAGGGGTCGGGGTCGATCCAGGGCGGGGGCCAGGGGGAGGCGGTCAACCCGGAGCCGGGGGTGAGGTTCTTCGCCTCCCCAGTGTTCATCAAGGGGAAGTGTGAGTCCGGGTCTCTCACAGGTTGTCTCTTTCCAGTCAGCTTCAGGTGTGACGCAACAAGGTGACGCATCTGAGTCTTTGGTGGAGGACAGCCTTCCCCTACCTCCAAGGGCTTCCTCAGATGGACACCGTCGCCGTAAAAAGTCTTCCAGGAGGCGCTCTAAGCGGAGGCGCAGAGATACTTCCTCTTCAACTACAGGTAGTTCATCCTTAACATCCAGCAGCGATGAGGAAGCTTCCCTTAAGCTTTATTGGGGATTTGGCGAGAACTCTGGTCTCCCAAAATGGATTTGGGAACGGAGGGCGAATTCCCACAGGGCACGATACGGGGCAGTGCAGGATTGCAAGGATGGAGTTCTAGTGCCGGATGTGAGAGTTTCTACCAATTCAGCTAGGGATCTCATACCTGGAGCCCATTTGTCTGCTAAACTGCGGTCCAGGATTTTAGATGGCCTGTTATGTGGACATCTTTAGCCTGGCACCCCCCCTCGAGGGCCAGGAGCCCCTCGATAGGGGCACCGCTTCTGCGAGCAAGCGAACTGCCATTGCCAAAGGGGATCGCAACTTTGAGCGGTGGTTGGATAGCTTTCAAGTTTTTGCAGGTGTTGTCTCTGCAGCGTATCCCAGGAGATCCCTGCATTTGTGGGTTTATCTTTCTATAGTCCGTTCAGCTTTTACTATGGCTGGAGAGTCCGCTGCTTTGGCGTATGATCAGAATTTCAGACGTAGGGCAGCCAAGATTACCACGGCACGTTGGGATCGCAAGGATTTAGATGTTTGGACCACTTACGTGGCCTCTCGCATGGACAAGAAGGCCCCTGATCCGTTGAAACCCAAGTTGGCCCCGCCCAAAGGGGGCCGAAAATTGTTTTGTTGGGATTTTAACAGGGGTTCCTGCCAACGGCAACCTTGTAAATTTGCCCATGTTTGTGAGAGATGCTCGGGGAACCATGCGATCTCGGTTTGCACCGGTGGGCAGCGTCCTTTTCGTAAAGGGGGGGGCTCGCAGCAGTCCCCAAAGGTCGCCCCCAGACCCCCGTCCCCGGAACAGGGAAATAGCGTTCTTTCTTCTCTAGCTTATACACCGGTGCGACTGCAGCCGTTATTGTCTTTATTGGATCGTTACCCTGATAAGGTCTCAGCGTCTTATTTGCGCGATGGTTTTTCAGCAGGTTTTAGAATACCCGTGGCATCAGCCCCGCTGGCAGGGAACTCTGCGAACCAGAAATCAGTCAAGGATATGCCAGAAGTGGCGCGAAGGAAAATTGGGAAGGAACTGGCTTTACATCGTATGGCTGGTCCTTTTGCTGCCCCCCCTTTCCCTAATTTACATATTTCACCATTGGGCAT